CCCACAAGACAAGGCCTCTTACACCGTGAATTTTTAATCTATTTATTATGTTTAAATTAAAATTGATATATACATGTGTAATTATCACTTTAAAATATAACCTTATGTAACATTGATGGTTACAGGCGATACTGTCAAAGTCGACGAGTCACTATTCCAAGACATGGATGATTTGGAGTTATCTGACGATGATGAAGAAGACGAGGACTATGTACCAGGTCAAAGTGGCAGTGAAAGTGATTAGCGAACAGAAATGCGCTCCAAAAGTGAGCGTCTGTGATAAAGACTTACTTTTACTGACCTGAATGTGTGCGTGAGAAAATGAGGAGCTGCGATTCTTTGAGTCAACATAATATAAACGCTCGAGAGTGACGCCTGCACACCAAAACTGATATGGGCTAGTAAACAGACAGACAGCATCTTCCAATAAATAAACTTAAGCAATTATTGCACAAATGTTGAAAGAAGTGATATAATATATCAGCGTATAAACATTAAATAAATATAAAAAATAAAAATATCACAGAAAACGATAGTCATCTTAGAATATTTTGTTAACTACTGAATATTTTCCACAGTTTGTAATGATGACAAATAATCGATTAGATTAGGGGTCAAACTGACTACTACCCTGCGGATCTTGGGTTGGCATCACAGCCTAAAGCGGCTTTGTTGTATTTTTCCACATGACTGATACTGCAATCTAGCTTGCCTTTGATCTTATCACATGAGTGTTGTTACATCGGGTATGCGTTTGGTAGGGAGAGTGGACCGCTGTTGTTGCGCGTCCACTCGTGGAACTAATATATCTTGAGCAGTTGACATAACCCGCACGCAGAAAACTTGCCGATAGCGACATAACGTCACGCGTCCAAAGTGTTGCTAGTGGTATTGAGCAGACTAGCTTGAGCGCGGGATGCGGTCGACGCAAGTGTGAGGGGTAACCATCGGCAAACCTTCTGTGCACGGTTTATATTTTCCGATTATTCGGTAATTGTAGTCGTGGTCGAAAATCCTTTTTACACCTGTGTTAATGATGAAAAAATAAAAACTGTCACAAACTCCTTTTTCTGCCCTTAGTTTTGGTTTACAGGCATTTAGTTTCATTATAAAGACATGTTAAAATATTAAATATGTATTGCATATTTACAGCCGGTTTCAAAGCTTCTCACCGATTATTAAAATGGTTATTTGTTCATAATAAAAAAACAGTTTGTTTTTATTTGGAGAATAGTTTTATTTACACTTTGTCACTAATAAGTACATATGTACAACTAACACTTAGATCAATTAAAAAGCGATTGATTTGTAACATCAAATAACTCATCAAAATACAACTATTTACTTTTGCAAACAAAACAAATTTAACAGAACAGTAAAAATATAATTACAAGTGCAGTCTTGAAAACAAGGACTTGAAATTAATACATGATTATCATATATTATCTAAATTAATCTACAATTAACCCGAGATATGTATAATGTTTTAAACCGGTTTAAATACCTGCATTAAACTGGTGCAAATACCTGCATTAAACCGGTGCAAATACCTGCATTAAACCGGTGAAAATACCTGCATTAAACCGGTGAAAATACCTGCATTAAACCGGTGCAAATACCTGCATTAAACCGGTGCAAATACCTGCATTAAACCGGTGCAAATACCTGCATTAAAATACACTTGCAACTACCCGCAGTCTCAAATAAAATGTATAATGTTAATTGGCAAAAAAATTACAACTGTAGCTTCAAATATCTATTTAAATAATAACAGTTCAAACACACGTCACAGAACAATGATATTTTATAAATTTTACAACGATTTATAAAAATTCACAACACAACAACAATTAATGAGATTCACGCTTAAGAGATAGACTTCTTCGCGAAAAAATATTCTTATCATCAGATACAGTTGAATTCATATGAGATCAGCGCAGTTCTGTTTTTCAAGAGGACTAGAACATATTGCCTTACACTTTCATACATAAAAAAAGACTTGAATTTTTCTACCTCACTGCCCCAGAAGTAAGGTCATATTTTCCATTTTTGTTTGTGACCTGTAATTAACGCTTGATGGATTATGAAATGTGTGGTGTCGTTTATCCCCGGCCTGTCATAGATCATTTTATTGCAGATTAAAAGTAATAAAAGCTGGATTTGATCCCGACTGGGATCTCTCTACAACTGTGCCATACCATACCGTACCCATAGATACCACGTGCAACGAGGTCCTACATAATTTAAAATAAAAAAAGGATAAACACGTTACACTGTTAAAGTCTACTATAAAATAAATAACACTGGCATGATGGAAAAAAAGTTTTTTTATTGTTGGATCTTCAATGCTTTGCAGACCTTTTACAAATAAGGACAAATACTGCAATGCGAGTTGCTAAGTTGCGAGTATTCCTGCACTGCCGAGTTCATATTTTATTTTAAATAAATCACACTAATTTTTAAAACCTAATGTGTATTATATTAGCTATAAGTATGTTTAATTAAATACAAACTACATAATGTTTAAACAGCAAATTTCAATCACATTTCATCGTTTACATAAACTGAGCGAAAGAAGATAAATCTGTTTATTAATAACGGCCATAATGCGGCCAAATAAGGTTTAAAGTTATGTAACAAGCGTAAAATTCTACCTGTAGTGCAGTTTGCTCTTATGTTGAAACTACGCTAAAGCTGGATATGCTTTCAAATATTGATTATAAGCACACGAATTTGCAATGAAACCAGTTGAGTTAATCCATCAAGAAATTCTCGGTAGCTGTCCGGAGTCAGGAGGTTGGCGGTGTCCCATCCCCGTGCCTCGGAAAGCATGTAAAGCCGTTGGTCCAGCGCCTGATTTGTCTCTGGTCGTGTTTTGCGACTATTAAGCACAAGCAGAATAACACCCGAGCGACTGGCAACATGTCGTTGGATAACAGCCGATGTCGCGGTATTCCAAAGCATCGCAAAGAATTTACGCCTACTTGATACCCTCGGTCGCAGTTCGCAAGTGTGTGCTGCTCGTTAGAATTCATATTATTACTACATGCGGCAAATGCATATCGATTTTATCGGACGCAGTTTTAGTGCAGTTTCTATAATTTTGCCCAAAACAGACGATGTCGAACTATAAAGAATTGTATGGTCGTTTTAATAATTAATTATCTGAAGTTTTAATTTTTTTTTATAAAAACATGCATGTGTATTGAAACACTTCAAGTTGGACATTTATAACACTTCATGTTGAATAATAAAAAGATGAATATATATTTATAACGAAAATAAAGGTGTGACTGTTTTATAAAACCAAAATGATCTGTAGGTTCAGATTAACTTTCAGTATTTTCCAGTTCCGATACAACAGTCTGTGGTGGCCTACATACACGAATAATTCTTGTAAGAGTTCAACAGTAAAAGGCCACTATTTCTTGTAATATCATAACAACATTTAGAAGGGCTATTTTTAATTATGTATTTATTTCTAGGCCAATATACTTTCGGCATATATTTATATATTTTATTTATAACTACAAACGAGACAAAGCATATCGGCACTGGTAAAATCGCGTACATTATTTTTAAAGTAAGGCGCAAGCACGCAGTCAACCTGATGGTAAGTGGATGTAGCCTATAAACATTAGGCATTACATCTTATCAGCCGCAAAAAAACCCTAGAAACCCAGAAATATGAGAAAATATGTAGAAACTAAACTGTCATAGTTTTCTCGTATTTTATGAATCATAAATCTATGTTCAAATACATATTACTGTAATATAAAAGCGGCCTAAGACCCAAAGTGCAAATGCGTTATCACCCTCAGGAGTAACATGGAATGCCTCCTTATAGTTTAATGTGGTCTTAGGTTCTCATCACTCACCTTGCAAAATAAAACAGCATTACGCTGTTATTTTATGTAGTTATTCTAACGCGTAATTCCTCAATAATAAGTATAATACGCTACAGGTCGGCTCTGCCACGTACAAAAGCTTGCCTCGAGTGCTTGTTTTCACCAAAAATCCCAGAAATAACAGAAAGACTATGTTAAAATTACTCTACGTTGGGTCCCTTTTGAGTTTTGAGAATGCGTTAGGCTTATATACGCAGATAGCTTTCACGCTGCAAGGCTAGTGCCGTAATGCTTTGTTCATGACAGTCAAAAGAGAGCACATACCCTTAGAAAGTGTTTGTAGCGCGTAAACAAATATTAACGAACACAATTTGTAAACAACCTGTATAATTATTTTATATAAAAATTATATTGATATATATAATCGATATTGCAAAGCTAACAAATTATAATCTACTGCAACAAACAGAAAAATTGTTACATCTTTTTGTTATTGGTAGCTTTAGTACATTTAACCACAAATACGAAAAACAGGGTATATTTTTATAAAGATAGTTATGACAAAACTATCTTTTTTTATAAAAAAAAAAATCAAACCAGCCTGTGCTCCAAGTTCTACAGCCATATAGTTTAACGTGATCTTACATTAGAGTCTATTATGAAAATATTCAACATTTGTACCTAAAATTATGTCTATATGTCAATAAGCTAAGTTGGGATTACATTTGTAAATAACGATGGACCCAACCACCAGTTAGTGGTGTCCGACCGTCCGGCATTGAGACCCCTTTGAAATTGAATTGTTACAAAGCTACCTATCTAAAGCTTGTGTAAAAATATTTTGGATGGGTGGTAGTCGTTCAGTGCGACTATAAAGCATATTTTCAGTAATATTACATATAATAGATTAATAATAAACATCCAGCGGCGCTATAATTAATTTATAGGTAATATAGTGGTAGACGGTATGATTAACCAGATCAAATTAAAAACAAACTTGAATGTCTTGTTTTCCTTTGCACAGAATGAAATTATTTAAAGTTTTTTTATCATTGAAAAGTAAATAAATGTAACGGCGCCAGCAGGAAGTTGCTTCCATTTTCTTCCTGTACGTATCGTTATTATTTTAATTTACATATGTATTACGGAAGCTTATTTTAATCGCTGCGTAACGTTTGCCAGTGCTACCGCGAACGCTTGAAGGGCTGAGAATGGGTACTGGAAGTCCAAAGTGTACGCGTTTCCATCGATGCGTCCAAACTGCATTACCTGGGTATAAATACAATTACATTTAAGATATTATTAATACGTATACATTAATATTAAGTTAGCCATTGGATGGTGAATACTAAGAGACTTTTAACGCAGGTTAAAAACTATTCAGAATGATGACTATTACGAAAAGTGGTATCATGTAAGAGGGAATTGATGGAGATGATTTTTGCCGCATGATTTTGCGCAGTAAGTAGGTGTTGATAGAATGATATAATATGTGTTGTCCATGATAGACTGCTACCAAAGCATAATGTGAGGTTTGCTGTTAGTCTAGCATACACAAGTCAAGAAGTGTAAAAAATCTAGGATTGACACGGTTTTGATTCAGACAGCTATAATTTTTTCAACTTTTCAGATAGATATTAGAAATAGACGATATTAATTTGAAGCAAGTTAAATAGTTTTCATGTAATCCATGTTAATTGATGTCGTGTGCTTGTAGCTATAGTAAATTCGTTATGTAATCTTCATGGACTTTTCCATAGAATGGAGCAAAATTAAGAATGGGACAACTCCACTAACCTATGACGCCTGTCGAGGCTACGGGAATGCAAGTTACCGCAGCCCCGTGGACACGACAGATTTACATTTCGTAATAGGTAAATGCATGCTTGCTCACAGCTCTTTATATAATTTTAAAGTTTCCGAAGATTACATATAAAATAATCCTAGATAGGTACTTTATGGAACTTAAAGACACTAATATATCAAATATTAATAAATTGGTGAAGCTTACGCCAAAAACAATTAAAAAATCTTGGTGAACATCTAAAACATTTATAGATAATTATTAAATAACTCAAGTTATTTATATTCTAGGATCAGTGCCTGATTTCGAGTTCCGGCAGCCTTAGGCTAACTATGAATATGCGCCCCTCACCGATCTGTTCTGTTTGTTCCCACCCAGTACACAAATATATTTACTAGATTTTTATATTTTACTAGCTTTCCAGCTCGCAGTTTCACTCACTTTAAATCAAATTTTCCTGATAGTAAGTGTCGACCATCGCCCATGAACAACTGCAACGCCAGGAAAATGAGGAAGAAAACGGTCCGGAAAAATCGCCGGTGGTAGATTATTCCACAAAGAAGCCTTGCGATGAAGAAAACTCCTAAATAACTCTTCTTAAATCACACAATCATGGTGGACCGCGAAACATCTAGATATTTTGGATGGTACCGTGAGTTTTTTTATAGACCAGGGGGCTGGCATCTGATGTTAAGTGACTACCGCCGCTCATGAACAAATGCAACACCAGGGGAATTACAGGTGCGTTGCCGGCCCTTTAGAAAGGAGTAAGCTCTTCACTTGAAGGTCCCTAGGTCGTATCGGTCCGGAAAAATCGCCGGTGGTAAACTTTTCCATAGAGAGGTTTTACGCGGAAGAAAACTCCTAGTGAAACGTACAGTGGTGGACCGCTAAGCATCCAGATAGTGTGGATGGTATTGGGAGGTTTGTCGCGTAGTGCGTTCATGAAAATTTGCGGCTGGGATTTGTCCCGATGTGCGATGGTGGAATTTGGCAGCTGGAGCTAATCGGAAAATACGATAGAAAATGCTATGTGATGCAAAATCTCTCGCAGTGCCAATGAATCGAACCGATCAGGAAGGACTTGTCGGCGACGATTAAAGCCACTCTTCGCTGGATGCCGGCAAGGGGAAGGAGCTGGCAGTGGATTGGGTTGACTGAATTTGCGTTTTATAAAGTTGAAAAAGTTGTGCCGGCGTGAAATACTGTCCCACTACGCTGAGCACACCTTTACCAAGCTTTTTAGAGGCCAATTTAGCCTTTCCTTCCAAGTGACCGCAAAACTGTACGTCATTCAATATGTCAATGCCGAGGATTCCGATGCTGGCTGAGGCAGCATGGGGAGTGCGCTGAAATTGGGGAGATAGAGTTCAACAAAGTGGTTCTTTTAAGCGGTAAATGCGTAAAGATGTGTCTTATGAAGTTTGGACTGGGCTGCAATCGTCCTTAATTAGAGACTTTGTTTACTAAAGACTCGTCTTCAGACACAAGTTTGTTCTAATACTCGATGACAGTTCCCGTTAAACATTAGCATGGCCGGTGCAAAAAGCATCACCAGTGTTTTGCAGTAACAGCAGCTTATTATAATTTATATACAGAAGAAACAGCGTAGGTGATAGCACGGTCCTTGTAGAACACTAGTATTAATAGGTTCGTAGTGTGGGTATCCACAGTCTACTGCGACCGTGATGCTCCGATTTGCTAGAAAACTGACGATTCAATTGCACAATTTCTTGGGAAGCCCATAGGAAGGAAGCTTCTAAAGAAATGCTTTGTGCCAAACCCGATCGAAGGCTTTGACTATGTCCAAAGTTACGATTAAGGGCTCCCTCGTAGACTCTATTGCTTCCTTTCATCTATGAGTAAGGTAAATTAGAAGATTAGAACTAGAATTAGCTGATTAATGACCGCCAATGCGGTGCGATGGTCCTCTAGATACTTTATGGGTTAGCAGTTTAATAGATTCTATTATTTTGGTGAATAAGGAGCAAATTTTGATAAACCTTTTAAAAAAAAACCTGTAGTTGGAAAGGTCTGAGGGGTGCCTTTTTATGGATCAGGTGCACTAAAGCTGCATTTCATAAGTTCAGAATTACGGAAAAGTTTAAAATCTGAATCACTTCTAGTCAGTCAACGAAAGACTGAAGAATTTTTCCCAATTTTATGATAGTAGGTAGTTATTAAAAATAATATATCAATGCGTGTAGACGTCTGCCAGCACCAATACAAACCGTTTTGCGGTTTAATGATGCTGTATAGTAACTATGTGCTCTGGTATTTTCGGCACTTACTCTATTATTTATTGAGAATATTATGCCAAATTTTATTCTGTATAAGTATAAGATGCTTGCAAAGGCAAGCCCAGCGCCCCCTAGTAGGTCTGGTGGCGTCCTAGGCTCTGGCCTAGTTAGCCTGTGGGTAAATCAAGCCCTGTCTAGGATAATGTAATATATATTTGGAACGCGATAATTGAATTTACGTATTCGTCACCTGTTTCCCGTGGTACTCGATCTGGAAGTTCTTAGCGGACTCCTGCGTGACGCGGCCGCCGAAGTCGAGCTGGTAGACCTGGCTGTTCTCGTTCCACATGGGCGCCTTGTTGTGCATGAGCAGCTGGCGGCGCGCGTGCGGGCTGACACGCGCCTCGCCTCCCGCGCCCCCCGCACCTGCCGCACCACCCAGACCACCCGCGCGCTTCAGCTGATCCACGTCAGGAACAATCGCAATAATGTAATCTTAATAAATTAGAATTTTATTATAACCCTTGTACACAGTGTTAAACTACCCAGGCTTAGACACAAGCATTTCGTAATTTTGTAAATAAACCGGATGCGATTTTTTTAAATATAATTATGGTGACAAACGAGCACACAGCCTACCTGATAGTAAGTGAATACTGTGGCCCATAGACATCTACATCTATCATCGACTAAGAATCAAAATACAAATGCATTTTCACCACGTAGGACTATCATGTAGGGCATCCAGTAAAAAGGGTCCCCGGTCTACACTCGTCATACAAAACACAGCAACATGAATCTGCTATTTTATGCTGGTATTCTGTGAAAAAGCCGGTCGAGCCGACTCATTCGTGCTACAACCATTATTTAGCTGCACCATGACTCCACTACGTATAAAATAAAAAGAAAGGTGTCAGTAAAGATGTTATTTACACAAGTCTGATTGACGATCGCAGTAAAAAGGTACCATAGGTCTCGGAGTCTCACACCTTTGACGCACCTACCTGACGTCAATCTGCTTGTATTTTACACCTGGCTTAAGGGCCCAGTCTTGTAAAAATTAGTGTTCTCGCAAAATTTACAGCGAACAAGTATTTTTTATAGTGATTAAAAAAGGAAAAAGTGAAACATATTTTACATTTGTTTAAAGTGTAGGATTCGAGATTATCGAAACAGTTTTTTAATTTTATTTTGGTGTTTAAATTAATAGCTCTATTAGGCGTTAAACATGCCTATGTTACACGCGTAAAAGATCTTATTAAAGCCTCTGCTATGTACAAACTATAACAATATCAAGAAAACTATTCAGATCACATTTAGTAGCTCTACTTAAATATGTATTATTTTTATTTAATTGTACATATTAGTTCCAGGTTTTAGTGTATTAGTTTATATTAGTATATTAGATTAATTGACTTTGACTTTTATATTTGGTGAATTTCAATTTATTACCAAAAGAAATAAAGGAAAAAGACGGATAGGAAAAATAAGAAATATCCTTGTGTCAGTAAAAAAAAATGTAAGGAAAGAGTTGAAGTGATGAGTGAAGAGTTTTGGGAAACAAAAATGCTGCCCCCTTTGACAAGTTTTTAAGTTTTTAGTTTGAAAGATTTATCACAGTTGTCTGCTGTCAGAATTAATTGATTCGCGCCTTGAACGTGCTATTCCGATAAAAGACTTGCCGTATATAATAGAAGCAATAGAAAATAAAAAACATACAAAATCCCAAAAAAGTAACCCCCCCTCACAATATTACACCACTTGAAAAAAATTCCTTACTTTTAATGCTGTAATAAACTAAATAAACAAATATTTGTGTATTCAGTTATTCTTTTGTTTGAAGCTGGCCAACGTGCAGCCTGTTCCAAAAAAAGGCAGCCATGTCGACCCTACCAATTATCGGCCAATCTCAATTACCTCCATACTTTGCAAGATTATGGAGCGTATATTGAACGCCCGCTTAATGGCACACCTAGAACAGAATGATCTCCTTAATGACCGGCAATACGGGTTTCGCCAAAACCGGTCAGCTGCAGATCAAGTGGGAACCTTATAGCGTATGCCACACACGTATGGGGCGAGGCACTCGAGAACAGTATGGAAGCACTTGCCGTTACCTTTGATGTCTCAAAGGCCTTTGACAGAGTTTGGCACGCTAGCCTTCTGGATAAGCTTCCAGCGTGCGGCTTATCCCCTGATCTGATTGACTGGGTAAAGGACTTTCTGAGTAAACGGTCTCTCCGATCCGATCGTCGATGGCTGCTCCACCGATCTAGTGATGAGTAACGCCGGTATTCCTCAGGGGTCCGTTCTCTCCGCAACTCTCTTCCTGCCGCATATAAATGATTTGCTTATGCCCGATATCTATGGGTACGCAGACGACAGCACAGTTGTGGAGAGATACCAACCAGGTCCCCGGGCCAGTCATAATCAAATCCAGTTCGACAGAGAAGCTATGGTACAGCGTGTGAATCTCACACTACAGGCAGTCTCCGAATGGGGCGATGCTAATCTTTTGAAATTCAACGCCTCCAAAACACAAGCGTTTCTCTTCATTGCAAAAAGGAGCCAGCTTACCTTGGCTCCTTCTTTCCGAAATGTATCACTGGAATACACCGACCGCCTCCAGTTGCTGGGGGTTGAAATATCCTCAAATCTGAACTTCAGGCGGTTCATCGAATCCAAGGCCAAAGCGGCTGCAAAGAGGCTAGGAGTCCTTGCAAAGAATATAGGGACAGATGCTTCTTTATCTCAAGTTCGGTCGTGCATGGAATATTGCTGCCATATATGGGCTAGTTCTGCAAAATTCCACCTAGCGGCCTTGGACTCAGTGGAAAGGCGTGCTAAGAGGATTATAGGTGACCCGAATTTGGTTGAAACGAATCTTACCAGCCTCGAACACCGGCGCAAAGTAGCCAGCCTTTCGGTCTTCTACAGGATGCATTTCGGAGAGTGTGCTCAGGAATTGCATAATTTAATTCCTCCCTCTTCCTACCACCATCAGACAACCAGACGTTCGGCCAGTCTCCAACCTTTCGTTGTTAACTTACCAGGCATTCGAACCAAGCGGTTTGCTAAGTCGTTCGGCATACGTACAGCAAAGGAGTGGAATAAGTAGCCAGCATCTGTCTTTCCATCCGATTACAATGGTCTTCAAGGCAAGAGTGTATAGAATTTTGTTAAGTCAGTGCGCTTTACCATCTTAAACTACATCACCACTTACCATCAGGTGTATTTGATTGTAGCTAAGTGCTGGCTTAAAATAGTTAAAAAAACACTACCACGAAAATTAATAAGTAATATATTTAATGAAGTAGAGCTACCTTCACCTGTTATCTCGAACGTATTTATGCCAGGAGGAGAGCGCCACCTTTAATGGCTGGGAAAGTAGATTAGCAAAGCTAGACGGAAGCCTTAAACGAGACGGTTATTTCATCATCTGTCTAAAGCCTTAAGATATTGTTATGAGCTTGGGGTTCTTGACAATAAAAACTGCCGATTGACTTACCAGCCTTATATAAGGCCTCTTCTACTGAAACATCTATAATGTTGGAGTACATACCGGTCCCGACTGACTAGGTGTAGAAAATTCTAGAATGAGATTGTCTAGAAAGATCTTGACGCTCCTAGTTCTACCACTCGATAATAAATAGCGCCTGTGGTAACTCGCCATGTATTAAGCACTAATTATGGCGCGCAATACTGCCCCCTCCTAAGACATGCTCGTCCCGAGCAATTATCGGCCTCATAGTAACGCGCCAGTCGATCCAGATGGACGATCTTAGGAGTACCTCTTGCACTTTTCTGTATCCAGTAGGCTACGTCATTGATCCTTGTTATAATCCGATACGGTCCGTCCCATTTAGCTTAAAGCTTAGGGAGATTTTCCTTTGCTGCGGATTAGATTGTGCAACCACACTAGTGAACCTTCATCGAACCCTTTGTTGTTCATTTTGCGGTCATACCGGGTTTTCATCTTTTCAGACATTTGCTGGCCATATTGTCTGACGTGCTCAAAAATGTCATTCATTTTGTTCCACAAGTCATTTGCATAATCGGTTATATTGCGTGGGGCATCAGATGGTATTCCGGTGATCAGGTCTGCAGGCAGCCGTAATTCTCTTTTAAAGATTGCGAAAGCTGGTGTCACCGATGTACTTTCGTGAACAGCGCTTCGATATGACAACAAAAACGGTTGTATGTGCTTGTCCCAATCTCGTTGCCAATTTTCCACAACTTTTGCTATGTATCTCTCCAATGTCTGATTAAATGGTTCTACCATTCCATCAGATTGTGGGTGGTAAGAAATTGTTCTTGTTTTATGAGTATCCATAACTCGGCAAGTTTCCTGGAATACTTGAGACCCAAAATTCCTTACTTGATCGCTGTGAATCTCTAAAATTACTCAAAAACGACAGAAGACTTCACGAACTTGTACATTTGCGACACCGATCCTCGACATCGTCACGATAATGGACCCAGTAAAACCGTTCTCGAATTTTCAGTAGAGTTCGTTTAACTCCCAGGTAGACTCCTGATCAACCATTACGGTACAGCTTGTGACGGCCCAATATTATTATTAATAATTAAATTCAATATAAAGGGGCGTCAAAAATAGTCTTAAAAGATATATATTAAGCAATTAAGTTAAATTAATAAACATAAAGTTAATATATTTCAGACATTATCCCAATAACATAGTAAATTAAAGGCAAAATTATTGTTTTTCGTAATAAATAAATTTATTTAAAAACTTGAAAAAATATTTAAAATAAGATAAATAATAGAAATACAAGTCAAAAAATATTATAAAATTAAGTTAAATAACGTTTATAAGATAACTAGAAAATTTGTTAAAAATTGTTTAAGTCGTGGGAGGTGTTCATGTATAAAAGAAATTTCCTAAGTTGTGGAAGGAGTTCACGTATAAAAGAAATTTCCTAAGTTGTCGAAGGAGTTCACGTATAAAGGAAAATTTTCCTAAGTTATTGAAGGTGTTCATGTCTTGTATGGAGGAGCTGCCGGAGATACATTCCTGCAGTTGTACATATATATGGGGTGGTCGGGAGCCCGACTGCCTGAAGTACTGTAGCACAATGACTAGTCCTATTAGGGACGTATGATATTAAACTCAATGATACAAAAGCAATACTAAAGAAGGTCTCCATGATGAATTTGCATTACAATAGTAGGGTCGTGGGTTCGAACCCTGTATATTAATGACTTATGAAAGTAAGGTCTATGATCCAAAAGCAATACTATAGAAGGTCTCTATGATTAATATGCATTACAATAGTAGGGTCGTGGGTTCGAATCCTATATATGAATGACTTATGAAAGTAAGGTCTATGATCCAAAAGCAATACTATAGAAGGTCTCTATGATTAATATGCATTACAATAGTAGGGTCGTGGGTTCGAATCCTATATATGAATGACATGAAAGTAAGGTCTATGATAC